CTACTGCACCATTACACTATTCATAACAAGTAATAACTGAATCTGAAAAGATCACCGACAATGAATGGGGCCTTAGAGATTATTACATTTGGTCAGGCGCCACAGAATAAAAGAGGTTGGGAACCACTGCTTTAGGCTCTGAATTTAATAATGGTCTGTTTTAGTGCTATTCAACCGATTTGGACAGTCTACCTTAAGGTAGCTGAGATTTAGAAGGAGTTAGACAGCAATCTTGGCATAGATAGGTTGGTATACAAGATTATACCCAATTGTAAGGATAGAATTGTTTGCTCCCAACCTCTTACATCAGATTTATTTGAAATTGCATATGGATCTGTTTTCTATATTGTGGTTTTGTACTGAAATGTATTTCAGTTCCCTCCCCCATCCCCCCTCCCTCTTTTCTTTCTCTATTAAACCAGAGTGGATATCATTGACATCCAGGTTCACTTTTTATAGTTAGCAAAACAGGCAGCTCTGGGAGTGGTTTATGACAGTGAGTCTATGCTTAAAAGTTATAAGATGACACATATTCACTTCCTTTTGGGTTCAGAAGCATTTTTATCATTTACACTTAGGTTATAGGAAAGATTGATTAGAAAAATGAATAGGTGCTAGTGTAGGATGGACAAATCTTATCTGATTGCCAGTGTGGATGGAAACGTGCAAATAAGAGTTAAGAGTATGGGCATTCTGTCAAGTACAGAAAGAAATTTGATTGAGTATGTGAAAGTTTTGGGGAAATTCAGTGAGTAGAATTGGAGCTAATAGATTTTCAGCTTTTATTTTGTCAAACGCTTTAAGTCTCCCACAAACAATGCTGTAGAGTCAGCAAATTGCATTCTGTTCAAATTCTGATTCCAGCAACAGACCCATATTGCAGTTTACTTCAGTTTTGCCAAGACTTCGTACTATGTATACATTACCTCATTGGATCCTTTTGACAAGATGTGTAGAGTTAGTTACCTCTGGGAGCAGAAATGAAAGAACCCAAGGAAAGACAAAGAAAATGGGTTATAGATTAGTTAATGGCTCTAGTATTATATTATGCAGGTGTATCCTTCCCCTTGAATTGTACTACTAATACATTGTAGGCATGATTTCTCTTTACTTTATCAGTAAATTCTGTCCCATACCCCATAGAGTTCAGCAAATATACTGTAAATAATTTTGTCATGCTACCCAATAGACTTTGACATTAAAGTATATCTGACAGTGCAGCATATATTGAGGCTGTGGAATGAACTGAAGCAAAAAAAAAAAAAAAAAAAAAAAAAAAAAAAAAAAATTATGTTGGCAGGTTGTGAACAGGCTGGATACCCCGACTACTCTAACCACTCATGATCATACAAAGAACCGCATTATCTGATTTGCTTCTAATTCTTGTGAACTTACTAGATTAGATGAGACAAAACTCATGGCTGCTGCAAAGTGATCAAGTCACCAACAGATGGTTGAGTTGGGAATGGTATCTGCATGGAGGCTTAGAGAGACCTTGTGAATAGAAACAAAGGATGGGTCCATTACTTTCAAAGCATTCTCATATGTCATGAAAATGGTTGTGCTTTTATTAAGCAGCTCTTATACAGTTAATTGTCTAAACGAGAATTTGGTACACTATTTAGGAATTGTGGTTATATCAATAACACTGTGGAATGAAGGTGCTATGACTTATTCTGGAATAATGAACAATAAGATATAAACCAGTATAATAATTAATTATTACTACTGCCAAAGAGGTTATGTTTTTGGGAGCATTTCTTAGTTTATTTGTTGGTTAGTTGGTTACCAGGATAACTCAAAAAGTTATGAACAGAGTTTCATGAAATTTACCAAAGGTGCATCTTAGTCCGACTTAGATGTATTAAATTTTGATGGTGATCTGGATCATGATCTGGATCCAGAAATTTTTAAAGGATTCATTAGCATTGCAAGTTGGGGATAAAAACTTTTTGGCTCATGAATTATTATTTTTGTTTTTATTTTTTAAAGGTAATTCTTTGTGTGAATATTTTTATTGCATCTGTGACCCTATTACTTGGTGGAAGTATGCGCTCTCCGAGTACTTCTAGTTATTATTTGTTTATTTATTCTCTACACTCTGCAGATTATTTTTCCATTAATAAGAATTCCTTTTTTTCATGAAGGTGAATAATGCGTGATGGATCAAGATACCCCTGTGTCCGTAGCCAGTCCTTCAGAGAGTAAACCAGCCATCCAGTCTCCTCAACAGGAGAACAAAGACAACCTTAATAACTGTGGATCCAATGCTACAAGCAATACTGGACAAGACTTGTTCAGCACAGGTACATCCACCTCCAAAATTGCCATCATTAATGCTGGTGTGAATGGCTGTTCAACTGCTGCTACTTCCCTCTCTCCAGTATTACTGCCCTCTAACTCTTTTTTGTCATGGAAAGATACACACGGCATTGCCAGGAAGGTGAAAGTCATCAGGGTAGAACAGCAGAGCAATGCATCTTGTACTATACCCACAGCCAAAGTAATCTGCACACCCACAAATTTGCCTCAAGATCTTGGTACAACCTCCAGTGCCACCATCATGACTCCTGTAGCCACTTCTGTGAGCAGTGCGAGGCCTTCCATTGTTGTGGGGGAAGATCATTGATGGAGGAAGATGGAGATCCAATTGCCAGTCCTCTAGAACAAGAGATGGAATTGTCGGGTGAGGACCAGGACAACTCGAGTACAAAGACTGTTTCCGTCTTGGGTGAACCCCGTGACTTGGGTTGTAATGTCACTAGTGCAAATGTGTCGGCCATTACCACTACTGCTTGCACCACCAAAGAGGGGGCTGAGGTGGACATCCACTCCTCCCCTGTTGAGTGTGAAGTGTCATTTAGTGGAGAGGCGAAACCGACCGCAACATTCAACCAGAAAGAAAATCAAAGAAAATTGTAATGAGAAAGACTAAAAACAGTCGTCTTAGCAAGACTCTTACCTTTGGCCACATGAGACAGGAGAAGCAGGTGCATCCATGTCATCTGTGTGGGAGCTTATTGTTCCTAGGGGCTCCTGTGCACAACGTGGACCTGCACCAGCCCCTGCCTCTCTCTTCCTTACTCCCGTCCATTCTCTTAGCCTCACTTGGGATGTCTTGCCCTCTCCCTCGTAGCAATGGGGTCAAACTATGCCAGAGATGCCATGACTTACTCATGGAAGGAGATGCCACTTATAAGAAGTTGCAGGTTGTAACAGAGCGCATGAGAGAAGCTTGGCCAGCATACATTCTGGAATCTAAATACATGGACAACACTCTTAAAGGCGGTGTGATAGCAACAGTGCCTGTGAATGATGAGCCTATACGCCCTACTACACCCCCAAGTCTCACAACTTCCAGGAAGTATGTTCCTATCCTTCCTAAGGCAGAGCTGCACTCAGAAGAGTCAGTGGAAACAGCCAGAAGAGCAAGAAGTAAGACGCAGAAAAGTGGTACAAAGAAGAAGCCACAATCTGGGGAAGGAAATAGCCACAAATTGTGTATCTGTGGACTTTGTGGGATGGACTTCTACGGTGAGCAAGACTGGTGCCTGCACATGGCAGCCGTTCACCATGTGCAGCCTCGTTGGCTCTGGTACAATCTCCAAGCCACACTGAAGATGCAAATTGGGAAAGAGCTAGAGCGACCTGACCCATTACCCCAACAGGACTACACAGACAGCAGGAAGATCCGAAAGTGTCATGCATGTGGAAAGACCTTTTCAGAACGCCATGAACTAGTGCAGCACCTACGAGAATTCCATAATATGGTGGTTGATGATGAATTCCTGGCCTCTATATCTGGAGAAACAGCAGAACAACCACAAGAGCCACAGCCTGTAGCTGCTGTACAGATCAAGACAGAGGTTATGTGGGATCAGCATGACATGGATAGTCAGATTTGGCAGCCGGAAAATGACCACGCATGGCAGCAAGACGATCATATAAAGCAAGCTGAGAATAGTGAGGCATGGCAGCCTGGGGATGACCATACATGGCAAGCGGATGATGAACACATCGGCAACACCTGCTCGTATGAGGATGCAAGAGCAAGATTAGTAGCAGAAGAGATAACTCTGCCCAAAGGCAATACAAGGGAAAGGTCAACCGAAGAGGCAGCAACCAGTACTATTCGAAATCGCCTGGAAGAACCTCGGCCATCGAGAGGTGCACGATGGTGGTGTCGGGCCTGTGGACAGGCTTTTAACAGCCTTGGGGCGCTACATCGCCATAAGCAGCAGAATCATCCAGGTATGCTCCGGGTCGCCTCCAGGACCCCAAAGGTCGAACCTTTGAAGGAAACCACAGAAAGAGATGCGGGCATGGCATGTCAAGAGGAAGAGCAACAGTTGAGCTTGACGTGTATTGTGTGTGGACTGAATGTTCAAGGGAAGAAGAATCTGAAGAGACACATGGAAGCAGAACATGAGGGCTCTGTCGTCATTCTGGAAGGTGACGGTTGTGGAGGCATCATTAACCACCGCCTCAACCTTACTGCCGCTCCGGAGGGCGAGGGTGACAGCGAGGAGAGACAGCAAGTCATAAGTCAGAATCTTGGGCAAGGGAAGAGCAAGAGCAAGATGAGTTGCCGTGCATGTGGTGCCGTATTCGCCAACCTAGTCACCTTAGCGAAGCACCAACATGAACACCATAAAGAGATGGTAGACGAAGGGGGAGGGCCTGTAGGCAGTGTGGGCATAATGATGTTGGAGTGTGAAGTGTGTGAGAGAAGGATGCATGGCTTGTCAGCGCTGCGCCTGCACATGACCAAGGTGCATCGTTGGCCACACAAGACAGGCCGGCAGCACCGTTGCAAATTATGTCTTTATCAGGGTCGGACACGTAGACAGCTGGAAAACCACATGCGTATCAAACATGGCATGGATATTATGCCACATGTGGAATGTAAGTTGTGTGGGAAGAGCTACACAGCAGGTTACCTTAATAGACATGTAGCCAACATGCACGAGAACAAGAAGGGGTTCACCTGCGAGTTTGTGGCATGAAATTTAACGACAATTCTAGCCTGAAGAGCCATATTTACTTTGAACATGCCAACAACAGGTGGAAGTGTGAACCATGCCAGTTAGCCTTCCAGAAATATCACCAACTAAGGCAGCATAATTACTATGTGCATAGCACGAAGGTCCACACATGCAACTTTTGTGGCAAGACTTACAAGCGCAAGAGCGACCACACTGAACACATCAAGCGGAAACACATGGAGAAGGTAAGTCAGTATTCAAATCAAGATGTAATTTTTTCAGCTTGTAGTGGTGGTTGTAAAACTAAACGATGGGTATCAATGCAAGATAGAACCATATTGATTTCTGAGTTCAAACTAGCACAGCCACAGGTATTGATAATGGCAACAGTAATAAGTTGACGTCTGGCGATAGGAGTTGCCGTTGTAATAGCAACAAAAACGGAAATATACACTAGTATAGTGTATATCGTTGTTTAGAAATAACTACGTGCGTATTGAAATGTCATTTAACGCTAAAATATGGTCACCCCAATCACCCAAATGTTTCCTTCGCCTTAAAACAACGATCTAACACGATGCGATCCCATGATGCCCTTCCAGGTACCGACGCAGTGCCCCAAGTGTCCGAACTCGTACCTCGACCGAAAGAAGCTGCGGACACACCTCATGAGGAAGCACGGCGTCCCGTGGGAGGACACGATCTCGAGGAGGTTCGCGCGCATCCAGCAGGAGAGCAACTGCCTCAGAGCGAGACCCGGAGCCGTCCACCCTGACTCCTCTTCCGCCTTATCCAAAAACAGCAAGAACCTCAGAATCCTGGCTCAAGGGGACCCGGGGCCGCAGCAGGAGGGCGACGCGTCCGATCCAAGCGACGGCATCCACCACTACGCCCACGTCGACGAAGAGGACGGGCGAGGAGGCGAGGCGGAGGCGGAGGGGAGAGTGCGGGGGTGGAGGTGGTGGAGGCAGTAGGAAGCAGCCACGTGGAGGCCCTGGCCGAGGAAGCAGGATACAATATCGTGGAGGTGACAGAGGCCCCGGGGACCTCCATGCCATGGGGGACATCAGCTACATCATCCTCCAAGCCGGGGAGCACTAGCCTCACGCCCCCTTCCCTCGGAGGGCGGTGGGCTCGCTGGCGGACTTCTAGCCTTTGTTTTCATGGTATAAATACATATAAAAATTCAGTATAAGTAATACTTTTGCAAAACTTAACCAGATATATGTTGCTCTGTTTGCTAAAGACGATACAACCATGTTAATCGGAAGTCTAGGCTCAGTCATCGCATTCACACCCGTTGCATGGTGGTAACAGCCAAAGCCATCTGCGGCGATAGATTTAAAAATCGGTTAACTAGCTGCTGAATTGACTGGCAGTCTGAGTGCTAGTTGCCGGCTGGTCAGTTGGTGCTTGCGTGCGATGCGACTTGTTCGTTTGTGCTCATAGGTCTTCAGCCTGTTAATCTCGGCTGTGCTAACGGTTGTCTTCAGCGAGAAGGCATTGAAATAGCCTAGCGTGCGATAGTCAGAATTGATTTATTATTGTTGTTGCGC